CCGGGTATGCGTACGCTGGCGCAGTTGCAGTTTCCTTTGTGCCGCTTTCATTACTTTCGATCGATTACCCCCGGACAATCCCTGCCATGAACGGACAAAGCCCTAAACGTGGGTCCGGTTTGCGATTCGGAGATTCGTCGATCCGCGTAACGGTTCCTTCCGAAGTGCGTCGAAAGGGCCTCGCGAGGACGACGAGCGATCCCGGAAATTCGGAGTTTCGCCCGAAATATATTTTATACGTGAAAATTAGAGTATCCTCTTTTTTTTTGGCAAAAAATGTCATCGTAAGAGTCAAGTGCACGTGGCCCACGTGGTTACGATGTGTCGCAATTGCAAGGCCGACCCTTGTCGACCTCCATCGCCGGCGATTAGAAAACCGGGTAACGATAACAGCTCCATTTGAATAACGAGTCTAGGATCCACGTGGCGCCAATACGTGCACCCGCTGATTTACGGTCATTCCTGACCGGTGATTAACGTACACGCGGCTTTTGGCCCATTAATCACCCTTTTTGATCGGTCTATCCAACGATACATGAAAATGCGAAATTTTGGGACGTCCCGGGATATTTGTCGCTGGTGGGCGCGGTTGAAAATCCAAATTGATTTACGGGGCGCGAGGCGCTCCTGGTTGTCATTTTTTTTTATTTTTATCCGCGCGGTTTCCAAGGTAACGCCGTGACGAACGCGAAACGTACCCGTTTTTTTCCCAGCTTCCCCTGATTCCGTAGACCGTTGGATATCTTTATCGCAGACATTTCTGAGGTCATGACCAAAGAAGTAATTCTTTTCCTTTTCTTTTTCTTTTTATTTTTATTCAAGATTTCCGAGGTAACGCCGCGACACCGATGAGAAACCACCCGTTCCTCTCTCTCTCCCTCAGCTTCGCGAATTCCGTAAACATTGCACTTGGACTCTGGCACTTTTATTGCAGCTCCAACTGCAATCCTGTTTCTTAACGCACTCGGCTGCGTTACAAGTTTGAACCTCGGACCCGATGTTTATACGGAGTCACTTCGAGTTGGCATTCGGAACGTATCTCGGTCGTGTTTTGATTCTCCCGTTTTATTTCAGTATGCGTATTATCCTATACGTATCGCCGGGACCCTAATCGATAGGTCTCTCGATTCGCGATTCCGGGGAGGAGAGGAGGTATTTTTTATTTTACACGGACTCCACGCGTTTACGTAAAGCCCATTGGAAACTGGTTCCTAATCCGCACGATGCGAGAATACCGATCGATCAGCTGTTTACCAAGTCCACGGAAACTCGAGTCACGTCGTAGCGTTCTCAAGGAGAACCGCCTCTCTTGTTCTTTTTTCCACGCTTCTTTAAACTTTTGCTTCGCTAAAACTATCGTAGGAAAATGTCTGAAATCGGAGTCACGTGGGTGGGTCTTCGGTTAAGATCGGCCGGGATCGGTTGGGTTCGGAGCGAGGCTCGACCTCGCGGGCTCCGCGGCGTTGCCAATCAGACGTGCGCCGGTCGTCCGGTTCGCAACACGGCGCGCGGCGGTGTACGTCACCGGGCCAGGCGCGGCGCGTACACGTAGGTACGCGCGTGGAAACAAGGCCAGCGCTACGCCACTCGGTTAGGCGGCGGTCGCGGCGGACGGCGGCGCGCGCTGACCAATCCGCTGCCGCCGCCCGCCGCCTACGTGCGCGCGCATCCCGCCGCGCCTCGGGGAGATATATACGCGCGGCACGGCGGGCCGCTACGCGTCGAATTCGTCACGGAAAAGTACCGGTCACATGTCCCCGCGATGCTCGCGTGCGCGCTCTCCAGAGACCCTCCGAGGTGTGTATCCCGCGCGCGTACCGGTTTTCCTCCCACGGCGGCCGAGAGACGGCGCGCTTGTTCGCATACGTGACCGCGTCTCTTCTCCCACCCCCTCCTTCGCCCGTCGCCGGGGCAAACCACGTGGCCACCTCGTGCAACGTAAACCTACTTACGTTAGAGACGGTCTCTCGCCGATTATCGCGGCCAAGGGGCCGCGTCCCTCGTCCCGCGGTTGCGACATCGCTCCGGACTTTGTACGCTTTTACCTTTTATTATTATTATTATTCTATTTTTCATTCTTTTCTCTCTCTTTTTCCATCGGGTCTCCTCGACTCGTCGGGGGGTCGTCCATCGCGGCGATCGTTGCGATTCTGTGCGGTGTCGACGGAGGATGTCTTTGGAGTTTTCCCGGGTTTTTAAAATAGGACGAGGCGATTTGGGATTTTATCTATCCGAGTGGATGGTTCGATTCTACATTGGATGATGTGTTCTTGGAGATTTTTTTTTTTTTTTAATTTCGCAGTCGGTTACACGTGCGTTTATCTCGCGTAATCGGTTGTTTGGACGGTGCTTCGTAAGTCGGTTATCTCCGTGAACTTTCGAAAACGCCGGGTATCTCGGGCGAGTATTTGCGAACGGTTATCGGTGGGTCGCAATTAGTCGAAACAGTAGGAAGTACGGGATTAAATTCTAGGGTCCTCGGCTGGGAACAAATCCTTTCCAAAGATATGCTTGAGTGCAAGTGCCGATTTGAAAGTAATAGGCGCCTTTCAACGCTTTGACTACCGTGCCACCCAAATAATGGGTGACATAGCTGTCAAATAAAATCCGCGTGGCGGTCAAAGCGTTAATGACGGAAATTCTCGTTCCCTTTTTCCCGATGCCTCGAAAACGGGTGAGTCGGCCGATCAAGATTCGACGGAGCGTGGAGGCGCGCATAGGTTGCGACGTTGCCACGTGCCGTGGTGATGTCACGCGGCGCGCGGGACGCGGCAACGCCGGTGGAATCACCTGATTCGAGGGAATTGCCTTAGGTCGGAAGAGACGCAACGGTTGTTCGACTAGGCCACGTGTCCGAGACCACTCCGATGTTGTTCTCACGGGTTACGTCACCCGGGGATATTTAAAGTAAACGGCAGACCGGTCATGCGTGATGGGTGACGGCGACAAACATTGCGACAACGGCGTGCCATTAGGAAACTGTTCCCGCTCGCTTGTCCGACATATTCCCCCCTTTCAACCCCCCCCCCCGCACTCATACAACCGCTTTGCGACGTTGCACGCGAGCCATGGTCGGGATGCATCCGTGCCAGTCGGAAAATAGCCACTGCGGGATTTTGTTTTCGCTCTTCGGAAGCGTGGAATCGAGCGTCTTCATTTTATGAATTTTAACCTTCGTGGTGGATACCCGGAAATACAATTTTTATTTATCTCGGTACTTTCCATTCATTTTATTTCCCTACTCCGTGCTCTAATTGTTTTTTATAAGAGAGGCTCTACTTTCGGGCATATATATATTTTTTTTCTATTTGCGGTCATTTTTTACCTTTGGAAATTCAATCCAGGCAATGCAGCGTGGATATTTCGGTCGGTTCAATGGATCGGAATTCTTTTTATCGACCTCGTTATCGACTCGAGCGTAAATAGGTGCTCTATAAGTACTCGGGGTGGTCTCGAGCAAGCTATTTTTATCGATTCTCGGGATAGTTTTATCTCCTGCTCGGTAAGGAAATAGTAGTAGCGTTTACGTTGGAGGCTACGTCGATCGTTCGATGACGACATGGACTCGGGGAGCTCTGTCGTAAGCTTCTTTTCTGCTTCATCTCCCTGTTCGTATTGCTCGGTAAGCGAAAACGAACGGGACGTTTTTCGAAGCCATCGGTCGTAGGACGAATTTTTTACCGCTGCTGCAAAACGTTGAAATCTCGAGGAAAAAAAAAAGGAAATATGGTTTCCTCGTGTCGTGGATGAAAGTTCGCTCTCGTTGGGCAATTTTCTAAACGGCGACCATCGGGTAACCGGCGATTAACGTTATCAGTGTTTTGACGGCGAGCGTTTCCCCTCCTTGGAAAGTCGTCTTGAGAAGTCTTATCTCTCGAGTTTCCTTCCGCTTGTAAGCGTTCTCTTGAAGTTTCCACAGCCGATTAGTCTTTTTCTCCGGCATTTCCGTTATCCTGGGAATATCTTAGCCCTGAGATCAACGGGAGATGTTTACTACGGTTCAGTTTCGTTAACGGGTGAAGGCCGGCGGATCGCCTGTTTGTCCTGGAGAAATAAATCCAGGGGTTTTTATCGCAGTCCCCGGTGGACCTCGGGTTTCGCCGTTTGGACGATCGCCAACTGCCGGGCGTTATTATTGCTTCCTCTGTCCAGGGTGCCGATAAATAATCTCCTCTCTTTGAAGGCCGCCACTCCGTTGCACCGTTAGAGTCCCCCGTGGGGAAAAAAAAATCCAAGCTGCATATGCGCAATTCTCGATGCCGAGGTTCGCGTCGAGCCTGTAAACTGTTTAAAGTACGCGCCGCGAGGGTCTTGACCATAAAATGGCATATTTCTATATACTTACCATAACCTCGGGGCCACGTGTAGCGGAAATGGGTTACACGCTGCAGGTGTAAAACGGCGAGCATGACGCTTTGGGAGGGTACCATACGTATGTATGCACGTACCGCGTTTACTCTGGCACGAGGGAAGGTCCCTTTTAGACGCGTTACGACCGTTCGCATCGTGACCGACATATTCCTGAACCATGAGCAATGTGGAGGATCGTGATCGAAAGTTTAATGCATATAATGGTAAATTTGCGCGATCGATTATACTCTCATTTGAGAAATATTCATTAAACTCTGTATACTTACGAGGGACGGATTTCTTCGAGCCCGACAAAATGGCGGCGTTCCCGTTCTCGGTGAGGGAAACGGGGATCGTAATTAACAGCGTTGGGTATTAATTTTCCCCATTTGAACGCATCTGGATGGAGGTGGGCAAATGATATATATATTCCCTGCGACCAGGAACAGATAATCGTCATTGGTTTACATTTGGGAAAATTTATTCGAATATCGACGAGGTCACTTTTTCCGGTTGTCGCCGAGGACTCGCTCGGGATGGACTTCCGACCCATGGCGCGGAAGCTTCTTCCTTTCCCCTGTTTTCTTTTTTTCTCTTTCATGTCGGATGGGATTTTTTTCTCCGCATTTTCACATTGGTTTACGTTTCAGGCGCCTACGTAGGTCCCTCGATTCCGTTGGCACCGGCAAACGTGGCGACGAATGGCGGAGGTTCTCCACTTCGTCCAAGAACGAGTCCTCCGCCCCCGCCACCTCCACCTCAGGAAGGATCCGCTGGAGAAAATTCGCAGACCAACCACCACCCGGTTAGTAGACACCTAAATGATCCAAAGACAATAACCACTCTCCATACATTCGTAGAATAAAATATCACCTGGCCATTAACAGAGATGAGGTAGGAGATTGCTCACGGGCAGGGTCGCGCGATCGCATCGTGGTGGTTGACGGTGGTGGCTTACCTACGCTTTTGATGGTAAGGGAAGAACACTCGTGGCGTCCTCACTACTCCAAGTACATCGTTGCCCCGAAGTCGACGTGATAGGAAGCTTTGGGCACGCGTCGATGTCACGTACGGAACTCGTATGCAGCGAATCTGTGCGAGTGCGATCGTTCCTAGAAACCTTCGCGCGTCCCAACCAGCGAAGCGCCAAGCTACGGGTCGGGCGTTGAGTATGTGTGCGTTCGGCGCTACACTCATGACAAGTATGCGTAAGAGCCGAATGCTGCGAAAAATCCTCCCTAGCCGCAGATATAAGAAGAATCATTTCGCGTATGATTTTTACATTTCCCTACTAGCGTTATCGAGCATTTTCAAACGTTTTTCGAGGATTTTCGAGCGTTATCGAGTGCCGTAGAGTCCCGTAGAGTCCCGTAGAGTCCCGTAGAGTCCCGTAGAGTCCCGTAGAGTCACGTAGAGTGCCCGCAGCGTCCCGCAGAGTCCCGTAGAG